GAATGTTAAATTTATACATACGACTCATCCTATGTTTATAGTTACTCTAAAACATTTCCTTCCTCATTGTCTAAAGTAGATGCACTACAAAGAAAGCTGAGACATTTTTGGTAAACTGAACTTTACCACTCACTTATCCACATGAAAATTAACTTGCATTCCCAAATGGAACAGGAGAGCATGAGAAATTTACACAACAAAATTATTGTCAATGTCATATCTATTAGGACTAGATTCAGTGACATATAAAAGCAAACCTAAACTTGACCTAAACATGATGGAAGTGCTATTCCTCATATTTAACAAAGTCTAGGCAAACCAGGGCTGAGGTGTCCGCTTTACAGTCATTGAAGGGTCAAATGTCTTCTTTATAGCTCCCCTATCATACTATGCACATGCCTTGATTCTAAGGTAACCTCATAGAACTCCTGACATCACAACCATGTTCCAGGAAGCAGGAAGGAATAATGAGTAAAGGCTCAAAGGAGGTCTAACCTACCAAGATGAATCACATTCCTTTGAGGAGCCTTGGTGGAAGCCTCTCATACCAGCTAAATCAAGCCGCTGAAGTATAAGCAATATTTCTGCTTACATCTCATTGAATTACTCTTAGTTGAGTGGGGTCCTTCATCCCAAGAGAGACTGGAAATGACTTTTAGCTGGACTTATTACTGCCTCAAATAAAATTAACATTCTGTTTCTTAGGGAAGAGAGAATGGATAGAGGAGAGATGACTCTGTCACAGTCTCTATTACAGTTTGCGTGAGATTGCTTTCCAACCCCAGATGTATTTGTATTAGATTCAGAACGTGATTAGAACCTGTACTTTTTCAATTTTATCTTTCTCTTCTGCTGTTTTTCAGACTATAGAGTTTCTTCTGGGGTGGGAGTGATTTCACCAATCTATACTTAGACTCCCTATAAATATGAGTAGGTATGTAAACATGCCATGTTCCATCCCGAAAATGCCTTAAGCCCAGTTGTTCATAATCAGCAAAACATTGCATTCTACATTACTTGTTTGGTAAGTTCAAAATTCTTATTTAACACTAATAATCCTATCTTTTACACTAAAAATGTCAGTACTTAATGTGACTTAGTTGGTCACCATTGTGCCCCCAAATATTGCATATCTTCAATTAAAATAAGCTTTGTAGTAAAATTATTCTTTTTCTGAAAATTTGTATACAATAGTTGGGAAACTAGGGAGTACAAAAAGGGTTACAATCAAAATGTTTCCAACATGGTAGTTAATTCTTAAAAGTAACTCAGAAGATTAAGTTTCAAAAAAGTTTGAAAAAAGGAAACTCTAAGTACTAAGAAGGATTGCCTTTGATATTTCTGGAAAGATTGAAATTTACTCTGAGCATCTCTTTTCTGGAATGTAGATAAATAAGGCCTCCTGCAGGGCCTTATTTATTTATTTATTCTAAAGATGCTTAGTCTTTCCACTGATTCTGTGATCACATCAATCCCTCTCTACTGTCCAATTCAGCCACAGCCATTCATTTCACCTTGAATGCACTTACTTAAGAGGATGCCAACAGAGGGGCCCCCACAGATCTAGTTTGCTACTCCCCATGCAAAATGTCACCATGTTTTAGCTTCTTCAACCTGCGTATTGTCTTCTCTGTGATTCCTTTCAGCCCTTTTAGCAGTAAACAGATCTGATGAGCGGGTATTTGGACATGATTAGCATGATAATTATTTATTAATTTAATTTTAACCATTCACCTTTAATTATTCCTGTTCCTATATTTTATGGGGTACAGAAATAATGTAGAACTAGACATAGAGGCATCAATTTTGTCAAAGCATGTGTTAGCTTTTAAACTTTGAAGCTTTATAAAGATGTGAGTTGTTACTGGTAGTAATAGTACCCTGATTAGATCTGCTTAAACTAAAAACTGTGTAAGTGATTCAAGCCTATATAATGGTTTGTGACTACATGATAAAACTCAGCTCCATTCCTGGATATAAATCCAGTACAATTGTGTGGTTCCCAGAGTTAACACCTAAAGAGGTACCAACCACATGGTTCTTTACCTTCTCAGTGTCTGCCACACCTATGGGTACTCAATAAACATGCATTGAGTGAAGGTCAGCGCTATGTATTGGCTAACTCTTTCCAATTTCATATTGGATTTTCAATCTACAAAAGAAACGTATCTTATTGGATTTCATCCTAATTTACCTGAAAGTAAACATTCTAGATTCTTTTCTCCTTATACCTACTTCCTGCTCTGCAGGAAATACTGTTATCCTCATTCTTTTTAAAGTTAGCAGTTTAGGTTTCCCATCACTAATTCTAGATTTTTTTTCTTACCTCTATTTTTAAAAAAAAAGCTATTTAATTATTATAACTATTTAATTTCATCTATGTAAAACAAAATGTAGAAAGCTTTAAAAAAAAGTGTAGGAGACTTCTCTCAATGGGAAATCACCACCACCACCACTATCATCATCATGCTAATAGTAACAGTGAATACTTTTTATTGAGCACTTACATCTAAGCACTGTATATAGTGTTTTTACTATAATCATCTCTTCACAGCAGCTCTGCAAAGTAGGTATTGGTTCCATACCTACTTTGGGAAGTGAGGTTTATTTTATTTTTTTTTTATTTTTTTATTTTTTGGGAAGTGAGGTTTAAAGAGGATAAGCATCTTAAATAAAATCACATTGCTAGGATATGCCACGGCCAGGATTTGTAGCCAGGTATGTCTGAGTACAAAGCCCATGACTGTTACAGTACAGAGTGGGCACACTGGAAAAAAATTCAATATGAGAGAAGATATTTCACAGCCTCAGAATTGTCTGGAATTACTACTGATGTGTATACATTAAAAAGTACAAGAAATTATTTCGCTGTCTCTCCTTGAAATGTTTGATGCTGCCCACTTTAGGAATCATAGAAAGGGCACTGTAGAGTACAGGGGGGAAATAGGGACAGATGTATTCTTGATTGAATCAAGGCAATGGTTGAAGGAAAAAGACTTCCTTCTTCCTTTCCAGGTTCTTCATGCAATGGAAAAAGAGATTCTCTTCTCTTACCAGAAAACCACCTATTTAAGGAGGGATTCAAAGGCCAAACCAAAGGTGTGTTAGAGCAGAATGGAACTGTCTTTCTGAAATAAGAATTCCGCCTTTTCCATTCATGCATCAGACTTAATGATATGATGATATTGCTCGTATGTTTGCATTGGACATTGTGGCTGGCAGTTCTGCCAAAAAGAGCCATTTTTAGAACTGGGAGCTCTTGTATGAGTTTCCTATTTGTACATTAGCTATCACAACCTTTCACTTTCTCAAGTGTGTATGAAAAGGCTTGAGGTTGAATTAGGTAAAGCTATTTGCAGGTGTAGTCTCTTGCCCTCCATGTGGGTTGCAGTGCTTGAGGAAAGTTGTCTGTTTGATGTGGATGGTGGTAAGAGTTATTTATGTATTGTGGAGTCAATGTGATTCCCCAATGAGAAGAAAACCCCCAGCTAATGATCTAGCATTTGGGCTTGGGTCAAAGTGAATGGCAGGATAGCTTTCAACCCTGAGTAGTCATATTCAGAGCTTATGCCCATACATACGGGAGAGTACTGGTGTCTCTGTGTGTGTTTTTTAATAGTGGAAAGGGTGTGAGTAAGATCTGTACCTCCACTACTTCTAATCCTATGTGTCTGGGGCTTGGTTATCAGTCTTCCAGGCCAAGAGACACTTTTTTCTTCCCCCTCAACTTCGTTAAAACCACAAAGGTGGAGAGGCAAATCCCGATTCTTTAATGTCAGACACTTCTTCAAATGGCCTACAGGCCCCAGCGCAGCATTAAGTAAGCATCCCATATAAAGCATGAATCAGAACTGGATCTGTCAAATTTGTTTTTAGATATGGGATTGTTAGAGACTTCAAGGCAGTTTGTAAAATAAAATCCTTTCCAGCTTATGTATATTTGAATTGGAAATGAATCTCCTTTCAGTTTTATACAGCAGTTTTGAATAATATCTTTTATTTTAGCATTCAAATGCTGAATTTTATTTTTCATTTCACAAAAACATTTTTCTTCACCAAAAATAGAGTAACCTGAAAAAAGATAATCAAGATGATTAGAACCTGAGAATGCTTCTCTCAGTCTCTTTTTTTCTAGATAGATGGATGGATGGATGGATGGATATGGATATTTGTATCTGTCCTGTGTGTGGATATGCGTGTGTGTGTGTGTGTGTGTGTGTTGTCCATTGGGAAAATGAAATTCCTTCAATTGTATAGAATGAAAAAATTGTTTATTCTTTAATTTTTCTTTGGATGTATTTTCTGACTGACTTCTTACTTTGGTGTCTCACAGATTCACATATGTAGCTATGGAAATGACCTGCTCTCCAGATGGTGGCCAGTACAAATGCGGAGACCTGTAGTGTCTCCGTAGCAGGATTCACTAGAAAACCATACTCTTAAGATATAAAGTACTATATCATGACGGATGATTATACAACCTGATGCTCTTATGTTGCCATGCTCTAATTTGGTTTTTACATTAAGGCTTTTGGCAAAAGGAATGATTTAAATTTATGTGATACAAATTCTATCCCCACAGGATTATAATGACTTAATCACCGTAAACTCATCAAACACAATTTTTAAATCTATAATAGCCATTTATTTAATAAGTACTTGGTCAGCAACTGTTCTGCCTGTAGCCCCGCTTGCTTTGCTCTGGGCTGAGGATAAAAGTACACACTCTTATCCTCATGGAACATTCCATCTGGCATGATGGCACTGCCTTCTGTGCAATAGCTGTACTTTAGCCTCAGTGTTGCTGTTCCATGTTGGATTTATAGGAGGTCTGATCATAGGCGTGTATACATTATTTGAAGAAAAAAGCAGTATCTCAGTGACTATTGATTATAATGTTAGACCCCCCCCCCCAGAAGATTTTTTTTTTCTTTGTAAAACATTGTTAGAAGGCCCACTGGGGAAGCTGAAATGCCTGAGTTCCTTCTGTTTCTTAATAGAGTCGAATCTGGGAGGCCTTGACGATGTAGGTACTATTTCCAGCAGCATTGACCAGCAGCTGAGGGAAGCAGCGAGGCACCGCCGACACACGGGAGAGAATGACTACAACATTGAGGTGCTGCTGGGGGTGGATGACTCCGTGGTCCGCTTCCATGGCAAAGAGCACGTCCAGAACTACCTCCTCACCCTCATGAACATTGTGAGTAGCGACTCCTCCCTGAGGCTTTTTGATTCCTTTAATTCACTTCTGTTCCGTCAGTGTCTTTTGGAGGCCTATTGTGAGGACTCCCCTGACTGCACCCCACATCCAAAATGTGCCTGTAACTGCATTAAATTGGAATATTGATCTAAATATTTAATATATAAGAATGCAAAAATGAAGGGAACATGAAGCAAAATTTTCTTTCGGTTGATCAGCTAGTTTTAACATTGTCATCAAGGGGAAATCTTAATTTAAAAAGCCATACTAAGATGGAGCTATGCCAGGAATTATGATTTCCATTTTGTTCTGAGCATCATCACAACCCATTGTGGCTTTGTCCACCTGCCTTGACAAGGACCATGAAGGATGAAGTAGCACCATTTGTATTGCAGGATGACAAAGAATGATTTAGGCCTGATAACTTTGTGTGGATGCCTAACTCTAGAGTTTTTGAGTCAGAGTGGAATCTTCCAACATTCTATGATTGAAGGTATACTGCACATACAGAGCACAGTCCTTTTCATGGTGCAGTGATGCAGTGCACTCATCAAGAGCTCTCTACGTTTTTCCTTCATTTCTCCTTTATGAACCTTAATTATATGCAGAAGAAATTTAGCTCACATCCCAAAATGGGATTCTCTTTTTCCATGTGAATTGGCAGAGAGCAATGGAGGAAAAATAGTATCTAAACCATCTACTTCTAAAAGATAATTGAGATAGTAGTGCAATTCTATTTTGTATTTTACCTCTTAGAATTATAAAATACCTATTTTTATTGATCTAGCAAATTTGTTACCTAAGCCTCTTCTCCCTTTTCCAGCTTTTGATTTTTTGATTTAATTTCTGCGGGCATCTATATTGTTTACCTTCTTCTTTCCATGCTTAAGATTAAATTTCAAATAATTACAATGGAGAAGAATAATTATTAATTTTATTAATCATAATTTTATTTATGGTAATATTTTTAAATAATAAATTTATTTTTTATTGGTGTTCAATTTGCCAACCTACAGAGTAACACCCAGTGCTCATCCCGTCAAGTGCCCCCCTCAGTGCCCGTCACCCATTCACCCCCACCCCCCGCCCTCCTCCCCTTCCACCACCCCTAGTTCGTTTCCCAGAGTTAGGAGTCTTCCATGTTCTGTCTCCCTCTCTGATATTACTTATGGTAATATTCAAGCCTATATGTTAAATATATTTTTGTTATTGAGATGCCAGTTTATAAAAGTATACATATACCTGCCATGTGTCTGTGAGATAGAAAGAGCATATTGAAATTATTTCTATCTGCTCATTGGTACCACTTCCTGTTATGAAGACGAAACATCACACAGAGAACAGGTTGCTGCTAGCTGTCACGATAGATGTGTATAGAGGATCACTATTTGTGAATCACACGAGTGTCTTCAACTACTGACTACGACTTTTGTGTCTGACTTGCTAGTGGTGAAACTGGCATTTCGCCTCTCTGTGCCTGCTTCAGCCTCTCCATCTGCATAATGAGAAAAAGAATAGGACTTACTTTACAAGGCAGGTTGAGAGGATTAAGTGGGTAAATATAAGTCACTGTGCTGTGTACATGTGCAGAAGGAAACAGTCATGTTTTAGCTTCCACACGACATTTACTTCCAAAATGACCTAAAACTTAAAAATCCCTAAAGAGATGCTATTCCCACTCACATTATTCATTGTACCCTTGGGCTGCTTTGCCCTGCCACCAGGCTGGGCAGCCAATCCTTAAAGATTTATTAGGCCTCTTCCTGGTGCTCACAACTACAGATGGCTCTTGGCATCATGCAGCAGAGAGTTGATATGGTCCTTGTCCTCACAGAACTTATAATTTAGTCAAGCAGAAAAGAGAAATACATGGGATTTTTTTTTTAAGTTAAGCAATAAAGACTTGCTGTTATGAAGACTTATGTTGCAAATGCTATACTTTTGGAGAAGGCAGCTGTGACAACAGTTGTCCAAGTTGTGAAGCTTGAGCGTAATCAAATTGGGACTTAAGAGGCAAGGGCTTTCATTCTAGTTCTGTTACCTATTGGCTCTGTGGCCTTAGACAAGGGGATTTCATTTCTGTGTTTATAACATCAAAAGGCTTAATAAGATGTTCATTAATTCTGTAATTCATCAGGAAGTTGGGAGTTGAACTGGAGTCTTCAAGGATTTGTTTTTCTATTGTGTTTTAGTAGAGAAAATAAGTTTTAAAACTTAAGAAGCTCATTGCCTCTGGAATAATTGATGTAGGTAGGGGTTTTGGAGAGACAATAATAACACTCCTCCCCTTCCTTTCTTAATTTCACAACCAGCTGAAAGATAGACATGGACATCAGATAGATAGAAAACGGTTTTTTGTTGTTGAGAGCTGAATTACACATGACCTAAGTATATAGCCGCCAAGATTTTTCCTTATTCTGAGTCAGTGATTTTCAGCAGAGGGCAGTTTGTCCCAACCTCTGCCTGCAGGAACATTTGGCCATGTTGAGATTTTAGTTATCACAATTGGGAGGAAGAGTTGCCTGTGCCCCGAGTGGAGGAGGCCAAGGATATCGCTAAAGATACAATACAGGAAGAGCCCTACATAACAAAGATGTATGAATTATCTCATCTAAAATGTCAGTAGTGCTAAAGTTGATAAACCTTGCTCTAAATTGGATAAACTTAAATTCTCATCCTCTTACAACTGGTTTCTTTTATAAGAGCAGACAGCCAGCCTTAAAAGTATGACAGCCTGGAAACGGATTCCCTTCCTCTCCTTCCCACTGCTCAGGGCCCTGTTGTAGGCTGATCCAAAACAGTGAGATGGGCATGCTCATCACCCTGTCCCAAACTGACCAGTTAGATTAGAGTTGGATGATGATAAGCTAACACAACTTTCTCATGGAAATTCAAGGTGAAGAAAATTGTTTTTACCTACCTAACAATGTCTGAGTAATTACCCCTCCTGTGGTGACCATGCTTTATGACTTCTCATGCTTATCTAAAATCATGGCTCACCAAACCTGAGGCCTGCACGGACATACAGGCTTTGTGCATGTCAGATAGGTTCTCTACCTGAATGTTTAGGACAGAAAAAGGCCTTCGGGAAGGCAGCTGTCATGCTGTGAGAATACCCAAGCAATTGAATGTGAACGCTCAATGTGAGGAAAAACTGACACCCCCTCACCCCCAGCCAACAGCTAGCATCACCTTGCCAGCTGTATAAGGAAACTACGTCTGAAGCAGGATCTTTCTACTTTTCTACCCCAGTCAAGCCTTCAGTTGAATAGCTCCCGCTGACATCTGACTTGCTTCAGAAGAAACACCAAGCTAGAACCAACCAGCCAGCTAAGTCACTACCAAATTCCCGACCCATGGAAACTGTGAGAGAGAATAAATTAGCACTGTTGCTTTAACAGAGAAGAAGAAGGGGTCAGGGGAGGAGGAGGAAGAGAAGGAAGGAGAGAAGGAGACAGGGTTATTGGGAAGAGAAGCTTAGAAAATTCAAGTTATATTTCATATTTAATTTTACTGCGGGCTAATCATAGTTTAAGTATAATCAAGAAAAACACTTGAAACATAATATATGTCAGGAGTAATGTTAAACATTTTAAAAAATTCATCTGCTGCTTATTTTTCCTCTATGCTGTCCATTTCATCCTGTGACTTATTTATTTTATAACTAGGAGTTTGTACCTCTTAATCTCCCTCACCTATTTTGCCCATCCCCACATACCTCCCCTAATTCATCTGCTATTTTAAATTAGCCATGTGAATTGACCACCTTTTTGACCCAAATATATTTTATCTATTCCAGGGCCATATTGCCTAATGATAGTAATGATTGTTGTCTCTGAGTCTGGCAGTTTTTAAGTGATTTACTGTGTGAATCTGGGAGTTTGGACACAGGAAAGGCAGCTCACTAAATTAGCACTTCTCTCAGGAAGTTTAAGGGTCAAGTGAACAAGTCTAAACAGGCCACAAGATGTTATTGCTCTAACTCCCTAAAAGGGGGAGGGTTCCCTTTCCTATGCCTTTGGCTTCTCTGAATCTGTGAAAGAGGGGATAGCCTTCCGTCTCCTTTTATTTTTAACTCCTTTTTTTGGGGGGTAGATCTTGAAATTTATCCAAGTCTCATCTGTAAAGAAGAAATAAACAGATCTGGATATATTCTAAAACAGCATGACTAATGACCAGAATCTGGGCAAGCTTTATATGTTTCAAATAAGATATATGCAATATGTGTTATAAGCCTTTGTTAGGATCTCATATCAAATCTTGTTATGTTAGGAAATTTTAGTTTTTCTATTTTGTAATATGGCTGACGTACTCAGAGAGTGGTTCTCAGCGATGGGGCATGTCTCATTATACAAATATTGATCTATTGATCCAGGGCAGCCCGAGCGGCTCAGCGGTTTAGCGCTGCCTTCGGCCCAGGGCCTGATCCTGGGGACCCGGGATCGGGTCCCGCGTCGGGTTCCCTGCATGGAGCCTGCTCCTCCCTCTGCCCCTCTCTCTCTCTCTCTCTCTCGCTCGCTAGCTCTCGCTCTCTCTCTGTGTGACTCCCTCATGAATAAATTAAAAAAAAAACAAAAAACAAATATTGATCCATTGCTTACTATGTACAAGGCTGTTTTAGGCTTAGAAAAATTCTCAATGAACACAATAGAAAATTCTCTGCTCTCTTGGAGCTTGAAAGAGGAGACAGGTTAATAGCCAAATAATAAATAAATACGTAAGTTTAAGTAATAATAACTGCTGAGAAGGAAAATAAATAAAGAGTAAAGAGATACCGTCAAGGAGAGAAGAGGCAGCACGGGAAATATTTGAGATAGGAGGTTAGGAAGAGCATCTCTGAGATATTATGTGGGCAGAGATCTAGAAATTCTGTGAGGAAGAGAGCTAGACAGAGAGTTTAATCCTCATAGAGATTGCATTAAAGATGTAGATTGCTTTGGGTAGCACAGATATTTTAACAATATTTTTTTGTTCTGATCCATGAACGAGGAATTTCTTTC